AGCTAAATATTGGACCACTCTATGGGGTACATATATTTCATTAATTTGTTTTAATTTGTCTATATGATACTAATGTAAATCATGTAATGCTACTTTCTAAAAGAGATAAATTATATTTTAATGAAAAAGGATTTTATGCCATGTACACGACACATGATGATCGTTTATACATATTGATCGGTTACGTATTGTTATTAAGAAGCAATTATATATAATTTTCAGTTCTCGTTTTCGGTTACACGAGCAGNCTCTATGGGGTACATATATTTCATTAATTTGTTTTAATTTGTCTATATGATACTAATGTAAATCATGTAATGCTACTTTCTAAAAGAGATAAATTATATTTTAATGAAAAAGGATTTTATGCCATGTACACGACACATGATGATCGTTTATACATATTGATCGGTTACGTATTGTTATTAAGAAGCAATTATATATAATTTTCAGTTCTCGTTTTCGGTTACACGAGCAGTATTGGTGTTTCTGCTGGTGCTCATCGATTGTGGTCACATCGATCTTACAAGGCGAAATGGCCTATGAAACTTATATTAATGATTTTACAAACTGTTTCTTTCCAAGTTAGTTTCCTCTCTGGATCTCCTTTTTATTTTCTTCATCTGTTTTTGCCATTGACGTAACACAATATCACGTATNTTTTATTGTTAAATTTCTTTATTATTATATACACGTTGTCGATTACGATAAGTTAATAATTTTACACTATCACGCAAGTTATCGATTCATTGGTGGGTCAGAAAGCACAGAATGCATCACAAATACAACGACACTGACGCGGATCCGCATAACCCAAAAAGAGGATTCTTTTTCGCGCATATAGGATGGCTTCTAGTTGAGAAGCATCCAGAATACATAAAGAAACTCAGTAAGGTTGATATGACTGACCTCGAACAAGATCCTATCGTAGCGTTCCAAAAGAGGTAGGCAAAACACAGAATTTTATCACGCGATAAAAATAATTAGATAGTATGAGTTTATCAGCCTAATATCTTTGTTTATATCGTATTTGTTGCAGGTGGTACATGTACCTGGCG